AAGCAGGAAGGGACCAGGGTGGGGTCCGCAGGCCGCCAGGGTTGTCTGTGGTCGCTCTGAGTGCTGTACGTGGCCAGCACTCACGTGGTCACCTCGGCATCGAGGATCTGTTCTGACGGGAGGGGAAAACATCAGCTGTTTTTTTATTGGTTCGGCGTCTTCCTCCGAGATGAACCACTAGGATTTGGGGGTGGTCAGGTGATTCTGTCATCAATTTTCCTCAGGGTCTAAAATCCGTAAGGCATCTGCAGTTAAAGTAACTACAGCCCCCACCTCTTTAAGCCACTGACAGGGGAACTCAGATGACAGAGGGCGCCTCACCGAAATTGTCCCGTCACGTCGTGTACTTGCAAATCCCTTATAATTGTCTGTATCAAGACATGTTTCCCCTTTCCTGCTGCAGGAACGCTGCGGGGCGCTCGGTTGTGTTGGAGGGGTGTCTGTGTGTGTGATCGGTGTGCACGTGTGGTGTATGTGAATGTGTGTCTCGTGTGTGTGTGTGTGTGTGTGTGTGTGCGCGTGCTTAATTAATGTCTGTTCGTTTATTCCCACCCCTCACCCCGCACACACACCTAGGCTCTGTTACATTTCAGTGGAGATGACAGTCTAGGGACCCAAACCCATGGGACTCGGGGTTAAGGAGGTGTGGAACGCTGCCCGTCACTGTATCACTGTGTCAAGGGCACTCGGGGGAGATGTTTGAAATTGACCTTGCAAGCCAAAGGGCGAGTTTGAACTGGACTTCCACACTCTGGTGATTGGATAAGGGCTCTCACAGGGAGAATGTTCGAGAATAGGGCGTAGGAGCCACCTCCCTCCAAATTATGCGTGACAAGTTGCAAAGTTTGCGATAGGATTTATGAGGACAGGGCCTTAAAAACCCCAATCTCAGAGGTTGGGAGGCTTAAATCCATTGTCAAGGGAACCAGCGAGGAGGATATTTGATGGGGAAGAAGAGAAGATTGGTAGGGTTGATTTTTAAGTATGCTAAAACTTACTGTTTGTGTTGCCTTCAGTTATAGTTTCCGTTTCTTTTTTTTTTATTTTATTTTAAAAAAAATTTTTTTTTCAACGTTTATTTATTTTTGGGACAGAGAGAGACAGAGCATGAACGGGGGAGGGTCAGAGAGGGAGGGAGACACAGAATCGGAAACAGGCTCCAGGCTCTGAGCCATCAGCCCAGAGCCCGACGCGGGGCTCGAACTCATGGACCGCGAGATCGTGACCTGGCTGAAGTCGGACGCTTAACCGACTGCGCCACCCAGGCGCCCCATAGTTTCCGTTTCTAAAGTACTCGGTTATAAATCACAAAGTCCCCGTTCTGAGACACCCTTAAAAAGCCCAGGTCATATGCCTTTGGCGTGGCCCCGGCCCCTCCCGCAGCGCCTCTGGAAGCTTCCCAGGGTGGATGGCATGGGCACCTGTGAGCCAGGCCCGCCCTGGAGCAGACAGAGCCCCACGGGTGAGCTCCCAGCCTGGGTGCCACAGGCAGGAGGCGCCAGGGGGCAGGGAGGCGGCGTGGAGAGTGGCAGCTGGGTGGCCACCGGAAATCTTTTTATTAGTTCACATCTTAGAGTATTTGTTTTCGTGTTTGTTTATTTAGAAGAGAAGGAGGACACAAGCGGGGAAGGGGCAGAGGGGCAGAGAGAGAGAGAGAGAGACAGAGCGCGAGCAGGGGAGGGGCAGAGAGAGCGAGAGAGGGAGACACAGAATCCGAAACAGGCTCCAGGCTCTGAGCGGTCAGCACAGAGCCCGACGCGGGGCTCGAACTTGTGAACCACAAAATCATGACCTGAGCTGAAGTCGGACGCTCAACCGACTGGGCCACCCAGGCACCCCCTTCGCTCCCTGTTTTATGTCAGGATAGCCAGGCAGGGTGGGGAGACGCACATTTGTCCGACGGGGGGGGGTTTATCGTCTCTGTTCTCCGCAGGAGTGATCATCAAGAGGAAGACTGGGGAGATCCCCTGCCCCTTGGCCGTGGAGGCGTTCGCTGCTCACCTTAGCTACATCTGCAAATACGACGACAAGTACAGCAAGTAAGTGGAGGCAGCCGCGGGGCTCACCGGCACGGCATGGAGATTGGTGGGTGGTCAGCAGTGCCCCGGTGTCCGAGTGGACACATGTAGCCCCTGTGAGACAAAATCCTGAGCCCCGTCCTGGTCTTCCAGGCTCACCCGCACAGCCCCCTCACTTCTGGGTGCCCTGCCTCCTTCCCTGTCACCCTTGCCCCTGGGTGCCCTTCCCTCTGCTCACCCGGGGCTTGCCATCTCTCAGCACTCAGCGCAGAGCCTGCTCCCTCTGTCCCCTGCCCCGACTGCTCTCCTCCCCCACCCCGGCACCCACGGACCACGCAGCATCAGCCCCCCGGTGTCCACACGCTGGGTGCCGTGTTCTCCAGCCCAGGTTACTGAGCTGTTTCACCTCTGGGCACCTGCTCCGGGGGTGGCCTCGTCTGAAGCACACGCGTAGCATAGACAGGATGCGTCACCCACGGCGCGGTGACAGGAGCTCGGGAGTGATGGCTGGTGAACCTGAGCAGGACTCTGAAATTGGTAGGGTTGAGCCTCCCAGCCTAGAACGAGGCTGGAGGAACCCCCAAAAGGCAGGTGGGTGCTTACTCCGCCCACTTGGAGGGTAACGTGCTGGGCTTCTCCGTGGCAGAGAAAACCGAGGACCCGGTTCCCCCTGGAAAACTCAGCCCAGGTTCGAAAGGCAGCCCCACGCCACCGGGAGTCATTGAACAAATGTTTACCGCGTGCTCTGCTCAGCACCTGCTGAGTCCGTGAGGTTATTACAGAGAAATCTGCATTTGTATCGCAGACGCGTTGGGTCCGCTCTGCGCCGGCCGTGGCGGGGATGCTGATCCTCAGGCACGTCTGGGGGGGCGGGGCAGAGACAAACGTGCAGATGGGAGGACACGGCATGGGCCTGAGTCGTAAGCCGGCTCTTGGCCCTGGAGGGACACCATCCTCTGTCTCGGGGCAGAGGCCTCCCTGACGTGACATCCGTCCTGGATCCGAAGGGAAGGCGGGGGTGGCCAGGAGACGTGCCCTCGGGAGGAAGGGGACGCATCGCAGGGGCCTGCAGCTGAGGGTGTACTTGACCTTGGGGAACGGAAGCAGTTCAGGATGCACGGGGCGCGGCAGCTGAGAGGGTCCCTTAGCAAAGAGGGAAGCCCCCCAGGCCCTCTTCCCTTGGAGCTTCTGAGCCATCGGAGGCCAGGCTCCCGGGTTCGGCATCTCTTCTGGTGGCTTCCTCCCGCCGCACCTAATCCTCTGCTAGGAATTGTCTTCATCTTCTTTGTCTTAAGTGAAGCTGACCGTGACTAAGCTGCAGTGAGAGCTGACCCCCCGGCCCGGTTCCTACCCCCGTGGCCCCCCTGCGGCAGCCCTGACCGTGATGGGGCCTTTTGGGGAACATCTCCCCGGACCCGGGCGCCCACGAACCATCCGGCTGAGCCTTTCTTACTCCTCCGCCCCCGCAGGTATTTCATTTCTCATAAACCAAACAAGACCTGGCAACAGGTGTTCTGGTTCGCCATCAGCATCGCGATCAATAACGCCTACATCCTGTACAAGATGTCAGACGCCTACCACGTGAAGAGGTACAGCCGGGCGCAGTTCGGCGAGAGACTGGTGAGGGAGCTGCTGGGTCTGGAGGAAGCCTCCCCAGCCCACTGATGCCAGGCGGCCAGGCCTAAGTGAGGACCAGGTCCGGGAGGCCGGAGGAGGGAGGGAGCGGGCCATTCTGACCTGCCCAGCCAGAGCCCTGCGGGTGCCCCCCCGCACCCCCCTCCCCGGGGGTGGCCCCAGCCCGGAGGGGTGCCCACGGCCTCCACGGGGACCAGGGTGGGCCTGGTCAGAGGACGGCTGCCCGTCCCGGTTCCCATTCGAAGAAGAGCATGTCCTCCCTCCAGAAGCGGCCACCCACCCGGTGCCGGGGCGGGCGCCGCACCCAGACTCCACGTGCCGGCGGGCGCGCTGTCCGTGGCATTGGCCCAGCAGGGCGCTGCCTCCTCGTGACACCCGTGGAGCTCAGCTCGGTACAGGGGCCCTGGGAAGGCTGTTGCCGCCGGAGGCGCCAGGGATGGGATGAGCCGTAGCACGTCCTGCTAGAAATGCCTGCTCTGTAAAGACATAAAGACGTTTGTGGCGAGGTTCAGTTTCCTGCCGTGTCCGACGGCGACCAAGGCAAGCAGAGGTGGGGCTGTGCACCGCTAAGGCCGTGCCGGTGTGGGCAGGAGACCCGAGCGTCGCCCCGCACCTGCCTCACGCAGGCGGCTTGGAACGGGCCTCCTGGAACAAGGAACGCAAACTGGGTGCCATTGACACGCAGGGATGAAATGGGGCAGCGATTGCCCGTTCCGAGTCAAGGATGAGGCGTTCCTAACTCATTTCATCTCCCTGGCTGGTGGACGGGGGAGAGAGGGAAAATGCCAACGGAATCGCAGTGACGTGTGATGCTGTTTTTTATTTTTCAATATATCTTCAGGTTATTTTCTTACCGTTGCTTAAGATCTTCTGTAAAAGGAAAATGTCCCCCTTCTTTTCCGCCCCCTCCCTTCGCCCCAGCCGTGGCTGTTTGCGTGGTCACAGTTCGGTATTCTGGGCCCCGTGACCGTGCCAGGACCGGAAAGGGCAGCTTGCTCCCAGAACGGACGTGCTTCCACTCCATCAAGGAGCACGGGGGGCCCTGTGGGCCTTAAGCGTTGCCGTAGACCTGATCGTCGGCAGAATTACTTGTTTGGGAAAACACGAGGCGTTGCTGCAACACACGCCAACACGTCTGGGGGTGACACTGGCCAATTCTCGCGCCCCGCGTGTGGTCACCTGGCTGGGTGTGCCCTCTGACCCCATTGCCCCAGAGCCCTGCGGCTGGCACGGGCAAACCCAGGAAGGTGACCGGGTGACCAGCTTTGTTGGGGGTGATCTCCCCGTAGGACCGCGAGAAGTACATGCCAAGGCCGCTGGCATCTGGGGCTCCTGCGCCCAGGTCCGCGTGTCTCCGGGGGAGACCTGGGCCAGGGTGATCCCCTGGCCTGACCGTCCCCCGCAGACACGAAACGAGCGATTCCTGGAGTTACACGATCCCCCTCCAGCCTGGTTTACGTAGCCCCCTCATTTTTTTTTCTTTTTTTTTTTACCAAATGCAAAATCTATTCTACTCAGGCTTTGGGATGTTTTTCCTTGTTCACACTCAGTTAATTAAACGTGTTGCTGGCCGCATGCTCCTGAACTCCACGCCATTCCTGCAGCCTGCGTTCGTGATGATCCCCCTCGCCCTGTGGTTTGAATTCGACGCCACGGATTGTAGGCCAAATTTTAAATTGTGTTTCCAAACACCTTCGCCGTGTCCTTTAATTGGATTGAAAGCACTTTTACCACATGGAGAAATATATTTTTAATTTGTGATGCTTTTCTACAAGGTCCACTATTTCTGAGTTTAATGTGTTTCCAACACTTAGGGAGACTCTAATGAAAGCTGATGAAGTTTCTTTTCTGTCCAAATAAGTAAAAGAAAAAATAAAAGTCTATTTAGATGCTGATCCTTTGCGAATATGCGAGTTTCTTTAAATGGTCAGGGACAAGGAGCGCCTGGCTGGCTTCGTGGGTAGAGCACGCGGCTCTTGATCGTGGGGTCGTGAGTTCGAGCCCCACGCTGGGTGTCGCGTATGCTTACTAAAAAAAATAAAAGATCAGGGACAAAACCACGGGCTACTCTTTTAAGACTTCTTGGTGTGTGAGCTAGTGTGCATGATCTTAAACTGTTTTTAGTATCCTACGCCCCTGAGCAGTTTAAAAAAGAAATTTAGTTAAGTCTTGACTTAGAGAAATAGATATCGATACCCTGGTCCTGTGAGTCAAGCTGCCTTCCAGATGGGGGATGCCTCCTCCCTTCTCCCGGTTTCTGTGGTCGTCCGCATTGACCCAGAGAGACGCTCTTGCGACAGGCCGGTGGGTGGCTTTGCGTTACCGAGTAATTAGAGGGGACTTAACACCAGTTTAGCGCTCTCCTTTTTAAACGGTAACCACCTGTTTTCATATACGTGCTTGAAGCAGACGGCAGTTCCGCCGGGGGTCTCTTGGAGCCCCTGCAACACTGGGACGAGTTTCTGTTCTTCCGGAAGGAGGACAGAGGGACCTAGAGTACTGATTAGGAAAGCCTGTAGGACCTCGTCCTGCAGATGCGAGTCTGAGCGCCTTGGAGAATTGCTCCAGTTCAAATCCACCTGGCTCCAGTATTTCCAAGGGTTGGAGAGACTGGTTGCCCCTGGATTGGCTCAGTTAGTAGCTGGCCACTGCTGGGGTCTGGGGAGGGCCCAATAAGTGCTTCTCACCACGGCGGGGGGGGGGGGGGGGGGGGGGGGGGCGGCCAGCAGGTGGCATCCCGAGGCCAGCCACCGCTGTGGGATGTCTTTGCTACAGAGTCTGAAAAAGAAAATCAGAACAAGGAGCATCCCGACCCTTACGGAGAATAAAACAACAAATACCTAGAAGCTTCTCCACAGCAAAGCTCTGTTAGGCTAAATGCACTGAGCTTCACGTGGTTTGGGCCGCAGTCCCAGGGCTGCGGCTATAGTTAGAATCGGGTAAGGTAATCCTTCAGGGAACTGAACGTGGGTGAGTTTCTGTTTGTATTTGCTGCCTTCCTTCCTTGTTTCTCTGTTTCATTCACATTGTCTCTTGTCCCCACACTCTGCTTCCTAAAAAGCCTCAAGTTTGGGGCGCCTGGGTGGCGCAGTCGGTTAAGCGTCCGACTTCAGCCAGGTCACGATCTCGCGGTCCGTGAGTTCGAGCCCCGCATCAGGCTCTGGGCTGATGGCTCAGAGCCTGGAGCCTGTTTCCGATTCTGTGTCTCCCTCTCTCTCTGCCCCTCCCCCGTTCATGCTCTGTCTCTCTCTGTCCCAAAAATAAATAAACGTTGAAAAA